TAAATATTCAAGAATCATTTGATGACAGATGTGATCGTACTTAACCAAGGTTTTATGCTGAATTCATAGCCTTTGTTCAGTCCTTGCTAATTATAGGTAACTTAGACTCAAAGTATTGTCAAACTATTACCAAACTGTTTTTTTTTTTTAAATTCACCAGAATGAGTGAGTTGGACTTAATCAGACTAAACATAGCATTTTGCTAGTGCAAGAGAATCATTTAGCGGGGGAGGAAAAATGGATGATAATCTGTTTTCATTGTCTAAGCTTGGTGATCAAAATGTGAAATGCACAAATAACATTGGATTTTCTAAAATTCAGTTTTAATAATTCAGGTGTTACATAGGTGGTAATTTGACTTCTTAAAGTCACTTTAAACCAACATTTGAAACATATGTTGAGAAACCTTATGCGCTCCTGCACATCTATACTTCATATTCCACATTGCTTGGTTGTAACACCACTGTTGCTTGAGCATTTGTGTTCAAGCTTTACTAATTATGATGAAAGTGTGTTAATGTCTGTCATAAAACTAATATTTAATCTAACTTTATACATTTTTATGTTTTAAAAATAAAAAAGGTACTTTAAGGTGAACTGCCCAGCTTTTTTTTTTTTTTAAACCCTTCTAATATAGTAATATGTACTAAATACCTCCCATATACTCTGGAGGAATTCAGTGTGTATTAAAGAAATTTGAGGAAAGGTTATACAGGTCACGTGAAAGTTTTCCATTCTGTTTGTGCTCTGAGCATTTCTGGCCTTTCCATTCCCAGCTGAAGATAGATTTCTTGACCACCCCCTCCAGCTGTTCTTGCTATCTTTGCACTCTGTCCTCCAGCCAGAAAGGTTAATTGTATAGTTTCTATTAACCATTCTCAGTTACTTAACTGGCAAATGCTGTACAAGTACCTGCCCTAACCCCCTGCCCACAAGATAAAGTCTTAAAACTGTTTCCACTGTCCTGGGAGCAGATGTCCAGAAGTTGTTTGCAGCTTCAGGGTGACCTATATGGTACTCAGCCAATCTTTAACATGAAAACAGGGCAAGTCTTAGCATATCCTCTCATACATATTGTTTGAATAATGTATAATTCACTTAAGCATTATAGTGCAATGTGCTGTCCAAGAAGATAATTCCTGTATTTTAGGTTGTCACATAATTTTAATTTAAGGAAAATAAATATAAAAACTAAAATATTGAGACCAAATATTAACACCGGCAGCTTTTCCTCAGAAATGGCAAATTTAAGTCTCATCTACTGCCGTTTGGATAAAATAAGTTCTAATAATACTTAAAAGTGAAGGTGTAAACTTTTTTTAATGGGGGCAAAAATCTGTTTGACAACTCATGACCTTGTAGGCTAGGCTAAAATGTCACTTCTCAGATTGTAAAGTTGGCCTGTATTAGATGTCTCAAAACTGAGAACTCTTCCTGGCTCAACTCTCTCCTGCTAGTTAGTGTTCTGTACTCTAGTGAATGTCTTATATTTGGCTTGGTGTTACAGTATGTAAGTTGGCATCCAGCTATGTTTTTTGTTAAATACTGTACTTGCAGCACAGCTGTGTCTATTTTTCAGACACCTATTATCCTTTCACCATACTCGTGAAATATACAGTATTTACAAAATTTATTAAGAGTGCTTACCACATTTGCTGGATGACCTAGCTTACTAGTCTATCCTGCTTCTATAGCCTATTTCTCTTCAGTTAACATACTCTTAATCAAAGGTCAGCTCAAATATGAGCAAACTTCTTTTGCCTAGACTCTCTGATCAGCATGAGGAATTGCATAAGAATTCCTTTTGGGGTTCACTCACTTTGGATTGCAGATTTTTATGTTCGTGCCCCAAAATAATATTTAACCTGGTATCTGGTTTTTAGTATTGAACTAGATTGGATGATCATAATGGTCCCTTCTGACCTTAATATCTATGAATCTCTTAACATCCCTTGTATTGATGGATTAAAGATGGTGAAATGAGCAAGTATCAAGGAAAATGAGTACAAATTGGGTCAGAATCCAGTAATGAAGGGTAGAACTGTAGAATGGCAAATGCAAGAAGACTTGAAGGATGTGACATACCATCCATCTGGATGCCAATGAAATAAGTTAATATGAATTAATCAAAATTTAAAATAAATTGAAAAAAATGATACTGCCTGACATAATCAGTATAGTAAACTGTTTTAAGATATGTTTGGAGCAGGGTTAAAGCGGCCACGAAAAGGTTTCTTCTGGCTAGTGTGAGGTTAACAGGTCATTACCAGATGCATATTGTGCACTCTCATCTCAACTCTTTTGCCTGACTCTGAATCCTTATACTCAAAGAACTGTTACGCCACCTGCAAAGGCTAGTAGCATAATTCTCCCCACTGTACTGAATCTCTTCCCCACAGGAGGGCAGGGATCCACATTCCTAAAACATTCTGGACTATTAGAATAATGGAGACGCTTGAACCTCTTGAAATGCAATGATGTATAAACATAACTTCAGAGAACTTGCACTTAAGTGATAAACTTCGTTTACAGGACGATTGAGCTTTCTGTTATTAAAGTCCTGAACTAGAAACAGTTACTCAGTTTGTGGCTGTCAGAAACCATATTGAATCAATTGTTTCTTGTGGTCTTCAGATTATTGTAATTTACATCCTGAACACCTGGCCACTCAGAGGTACAGTACTTAACTTGCAAACTAAAGAATAAAAAGCTCAGGATGATTAATCATAGCAAAAACAAGCAGCACTTTATTATCTGAGCTTCAAAAAAGCATTCTGTAACCTATCTGAATAGGTTAGAAAGCTAAAATTATTAAACTAACTTACACTTGGAATCAGTTTCTATCAGTATTGATCTGAAAAGATTGTTAATTTGTGATTGAGATTTAATTGAGACAAACTTTGTCTGAGAGCATGCTACATTTTGCTGATTCTAGTCACATGTCTGAACACCTACTTTGGAATTTGATTTGTAGTAGTAAATTGAGTTAGGCTGGCAGAAGAACTCTTATGCCAGTATAAACTGTATCTACAGTTGGAGGGTTTGCTGGCATATCTATGCCAGCAAAAGTTTTCTAGGGTAGAAGAGGCCTTAAACAACCTTCAGGTTCAGGTCTATTGCCTTGGACAAAGTCAGTTACACAAATGTATTTCTACTCAGAGCTGTTTGTCTAGTCTGCAAGGCTTTCTTGCCCTTCCTTTGGGACAGCACTATCAAGATCCCAAGAGAGACAATATGATGGCGATGCATTATATAAACAGAGGGGTGCACGATATTCCCCCTTATCATGAAGCAGTTTATTTTGTGAGAATGGTGTATTCTTCATTAAATCAACTCAATAGCTCTTTATTTCACAGGGGTTCAAAACATGCAGATCCTCACAGCAGGAAAGGCTCAGTCACCACCGATGGGGACTAATGGACTTAGTTTTAGATAAAGTATTCTACAACTAGGCGGAGGGTGAGGTCCCCTAACAGAGGCATTTCTGATTCAGTGGGAAAAGAAGCTACTATGGTATCCCCATTCCACTAATTCCCAGAGTGCTCAGGAATGTGTGCTGGGACAGCCCAGATAATGCAAAAACCAGCCTGGGGACATCAGTTTTTTTCTGACCCAATACACCCATCAATTCACCCACTTCTTCCACTTCAAAATCTTCTGGACATCATTCCAAAGAATCATAATCTAGTGTTCCATCTAGATCTCGTGTCTCTACAACTGATGACATGGAGATTAGCTGGTTCAATTCTATTTGATGACCGTTTGAGTTTTTGATGCAGAGCAGAAAGGCCTTTACAAGCGTAACCTATAAAGCTGAATGAAAGATTTTTTCATTGTAGTCCGTTCAGAGGCACTCTCAACCCTTGGAGTCTTTTATTGTCTCTAGAATACTCAGGACTCTCAATCAGCTCTGTTCGAGCGCATTTGGCAGCTGTTTCTGTGCATCATCCACAGATTGAGGGTCATTCAGTTTTCCTCCATACCACTCTATCCACATTTCCAACAGGATTGACTCATAGTTCTACCGGTTAGAAACTTTCCAACCTGGGATTTTAATGTTGTGCTGCTGCTCTTTTTAATGGTGATGGGTCCCCTGTGCATATATGCTGTATTCCATAAGCACAGAGTTGTAATTCGGCTTTTAAATTAGTTTATACATCTGCCAGTATTTTTCCCAAGCCTCCTGATTCTCCCACAGAGAATAAGTTTTATACACATAAATAAGAGGACAAGGCTGTAATAACATTATTTAAAACAGTCATTCTGAAACTCTTGCAGGCTTGTGGTAGCTTTTGCTAATAAATCCAAGGAATGATTTGTTGCCACCTAGACACTCAAAGTAGGTTTCAGATTGTATTTGTTTCTTACATATTGAGCAAAGTAATCCTCCCTTTTCAAGCTAGTGCAGATACTCCTATGGCTCATTTTAGGGGAATCTCTATTTCTGAGAAGTAGAGCAGTTACTTGGAGTTTTGCTTATATATTTACCAGTCATTACTCCATTGTAGCAGCTTCTAGATCAGATTAGGCAGGTCTGTCTTAGTCGTTTTTTAGATAGGAGTCTTATCACCCAGCTCCTTGAGTTAACTGCTGGTCAGTCACTGACAGTGGTATGCAGGTGGACAAATGCTTGCAAAGGTTACCTAATTTTCAGTAAGTGGAGTGGCTTAGAGATGCCTTTGTCCATGTGGTTACTATGACCCACCCTCCTTCCCCACTTGTAACTAAGTCTTCTAGCTGCCTATATTACTGAAGGAAATGAGTGGAGGTTGAGGGTGCTCAGTTCTTCATGCCCACTTGTGGTTAAGATTCTGGGCTCATGTATGTTAGGGGTACGCACTACAATAAGATCCAAGTAGACATAATCATCTCAAACTCTAGTTACTATAAAGCATGTGACTTTACCCATCCCATGGCACATCAGTGCACGGAGTGAACCTGTTAGACTGTGTGAAATGTCATAACTGTTATGATGATTCTTGTTTGTTCTGCATTTTTAGGTAATATTCAGGTATCTTGGATTGATGATACATCAGCATTTGTGTCACTTAGCCAGCCAGAACAAGTACAAATAGGTAAGTGTTTTTGGAATCACCTCATTGTAAGGTTTGCCTGTTCGCACTATAAACAGACATTGAAAGGGTTGCTACTGTCTCTTCTAAAATTCCTCAGTCCATAATTTCCTTCTAGCTGGCAAATAGTAGGAATTTCATTTGCCACTATGTTTCTCTTAATAAGCCACTGTCACTTGGTATCAACCACTTCTCTTTGTGTATGAGTATCATTGACATAACAGCAATGCAAACAGGTATGGGAATTTTGTTGAACTATTAGAGCCAGTTGAGGTAGACAGGGATTCAGAACCCATTTGTTCTCCTGCACAGTTTGCTTCCTGAGCATCATAAAAGAAGCCAGCAGAATGGGTAGGTGCCAAGGTGCACAGCACTGTGAAGTCGAGAAGTATTATGCAGAGGGCCACCAGGCTGTTGTAGCTCCAGTGCACGTTTTGGGTTTATAGGCTTCACTGCGACTAGTTGAGTAGTTCTTGTAGTAAAACAAACTGAAACTCCATGTTTTCCCTGTCCACACTGCTGCCTGCATATCATGAATCATAGAACTGGAAGGGACCTTGAGAGGTCATCTAGTCCAGTCCACTGCACTCATGGCAGGACTAAGTATCTAGACCATTCCTGACAGGTCTTTGTCTAACCTGCTTTTAAAAATCTCCATTGATGGAGATTCCACAACCTCCCTAGACAATTTATTCCAGTGCTTAACCACCGTGACAGGAAGCTTTTCCTAATGTCCAACCTAAACCTCCCTTGCTGCAATTTAACCCCATTGCTGCTTGTCCTATCCTCAAAGGTTAAGAAGAACAATTTTTCTTCCTCCTCCTTGTAACAACCTTTTACATACTTGAAAACTGCTATCCTGTCCCCTCTGTCTTCTTTTCCAGACTAAACAAACCCAGTTCCCTGGCTTCCAGTTTCTTTTCTTCTCTTCTCTTCTTTCTCTCCCCTTCCTCACTAAGCCTACCAAATGGTAGTCTCTGTAGAGCAAAATTGTGAAGGTTTTCACTAGCTGTCTGTGTTTCCAACTACCTTAAGGTGTGACCTATCTGCTTAGATGTTTCATGATCTGCCAAAGGCATCAGCAGTACAAAGTACCCTTCTGTCTTTATTGTAGAAGAGGACCCAAGACGTTTTAGGAAAGATGAAAATTAGTTTGTACTTAATTTGGGCTGCCAATGTTTGAACATTCACATGCTTAAAACATGATTCTGTCCATGTTCAGTCTCTACTGGAGTGCTTGTGTAAAGTCCACTTTCTAGCTTGGGCAGCTTAAGTTTGCTTAGCTCTTCTTTATTGTACTGAACACTTAGTGAGCTTTGCCAAGCTGCTCACTGTTGCAGACTTTCCTTGGTCCCAGAGTTGATTGGCTTATTACCAAAACAAAGTTTTGTAAAGGCTTTTCCTCATCAGTAGTTTGTTCAAGAAAACATCAGTTATCTTAAAGCAGGAACACAAAGGTTGTGTACAGCTGAATAGGTAGAAATATGCCTAAATACTTCAGATGCCAAACTTCATTCACTTTAAATCAAATTCAGGCATTAAAACTAACTTTCTCTAATAGTATAACTGTATTAAGGTAGTTGGTTGATATATTACAAACAGAATACTTTATTGTGTTATGGAATTTTTAACACTGTTCTGAAATGCTATGCAACAGTCGTAGCCTAATATCATGGGTTGTTTTCCCTTTTGACAATCATTCAGGGAACTTGCCAACTCAGCTGTGGAGTAAACCCATGGGGTCTAGTGAAAGAGATGAGGGGAGGTATTAGCGTTCAGAAATCTTCAAACAGTTGAGTTGTTGAATGCATTTTTCTCCGAGTATGTATTGATTCTGACACACAAAATAGAAAGCAGACTCCTAATGCTATTGGACAGAATACTTTATATTAATGTTTAAACCTTGTAACCTTACTTAATCCTCATCGCCAATTTCATACTGATAAGTAGTCAATGACCTTCTTTAAAACACTGACCTCTAGACACACACAAGGTCCAATAGGGAAATTACTGCTCACTATGGGAAGGGGAATGAGAGCACTGTTTACTTACAAAAGTTTAAAAAAAAAAAAGTCCAAACATATTTTCAGAAAATAAAGTGGCTAAATAAGTGGCTTATTCTTGAATGAATTTAAAAAATTGACTGTATATACATATGCTTGCTTTGGAAATCAAAATACATAAATTTACATTTTACAATTCACAGCTACCATATAGTAAACCTAAGTTAAGATGCACCTCAATAGGGTAGCTAATTCAAACTATCAAATTAGTGACCCTGAGGAGGGCGTAAATCAGTGGTTCTCAATCTGTGGCCCACCAGCTGCTTGCGGCCCAATCAGCACACAGCTGCAGCCCATGTGACATCCTTAGGTAGTATATATATTGTGTGGCTGCTGCCCACATAACACATGGAAAGCTGCATATGTGATCCACAATGGTAAATAGGTTGAACTACTGGTGTAAATCACTTTAATTAAAAAAGGAGTACTTGTGGCACCTTAGAAACTAACAAATTTATTTGAGCATAAGCTCACGAAAGCTTATGCTCAAATAAATTTGTTAGTCTCTAAGGTGCCACAAGTACTCCTTTTCTTTTTGCGGATACAGACTACATGGCTGCTCCTCTGAAACCTCACTTTAATTAGGCAGCATTCTTTTGTCTAGTGCCTAAAGTACATGTCTGTTTTACTTTCATTAAAGTTCTTTGTGATTTTTAATTAACCCGTAATCAGAAGTGCAAAGCTAGGGTCTGTCTACGTAGTCCCTTAGAAATATTCTGCACTATAAACAGGCATGGTTAGTGGTCAAATAACTGGTCCCTGTCATTAAAGGGTTTACAGTGTTAGACATGACATATAGGGAGTGATGTTAGACAAGCAGTAGTTCTAAAAACTTTAGCCATCCCAGGTATAAGGCTGTAAGAGTGCTACTTTTTTTACTTGCCTAGTATTCCATTTTATTTATTGGCTTAATTGATTTTTTTTCGGATGGTTAGGAACAAAACATTTCCAATGAAGACATTTGAAAACAAGTTTTCATTGAAAAATTTCTCAATGTCTTCTGTTTTTCATCAAAAAACTGACTAATTTCCCAAACCTAACATTTTTTTCTTGAGTTTTCAGTTTTTTGATGTAAACCCCAAAAATGTCATTAATTGGATATGTCCCGTGGGCATTTTTTTATTGACAAAAACCATTTGTCAAAAGTTTCAAATGAGAAATGTTGACCAGCTCCAGATATTTGATTTATATCTTTGTTTGCATCACAGTTTCCGCTGCTTAAACTATATTTATTGCAGAAGATAGCATGCATGCTAATCAAGTGGGCCTTGAAGAAGGCTGGATTGATTTGGGGTCAAAGTGGTCATTTCAGGTGTAGTGAACAGCTTGGGAGAAGGTCACACATCATAATGGTGAGAGGAGCTGATTGAGTAATGGTCTTAGTGTTGTGTGATGGGCAAAGAGACCATACATGTAGGTGGGATTAGAGCTGAACAGGACATTGAAGTTGAGCTGACAGGATTGAGTCATTTCTCATATAAGAAAACTCCAAGGAATGAAGGACACTGGGAGGAGGGTAGTGCTTGCTGTTCTAGCTACACCTAATGTTAAATGATTTTAGCAGCAGTGTTTTGAGTACAGTGTAGTGGTGGGATCCAGGTAGGCCACAGAGCAAGGTGGTGTGATAGTCCATGTAGAGATTAACAAAGACTGGACATCTGTCTTTGCAATAGGGATCCGAAGGAGATTTTGAGATGTTAAAGGTTAGTTGTTAAATTATAAAGTTCGTTGGATTTGATTTGGTAGGTAAATTTAGGATTGGAAATAGGCATTACATTTTTACAAGATAAGACCTAACGGGTCATTTTAACCCACTAAGGGTATGTCTGCACTGGGTCTGATGGTGTAATTTCCAGCTTCAGTAAATGTACACAAGCTAGCTTCCATCTGCAGCATCATCTCCAGGATACTGATAGATTGTGAGGATGGGATTTTCTTTCGTTATCCCTTAATGATCAAAAGAACAATCTGTGAAAATGCTTTTACGAACTTGTTAAATTGGTCCTGAAGTGGAATTTGACAGTTGACTTAACATGCAAATTCACATCAGCAAGTCTGTGCCTGTGTCAGTCAGTGTGCAGGTGGCAAACACCGAGATGCAAAATTCATTGAGTTTTACATGAGAACCCCTCAAGCAGGACAATATGCAGAAAGGCTATGATAATGTAATAATATTTCATAACCACTGAAAATTTTACATTGAACTAATGCTATCCAACAGTTCAGAAGAGATGGGGGAGCAGCGGGAAATCTCTGAAGAGATGGCACAAAGATACATATTCTGTCTCAGGTTCAGGTCGGTAATACTTGTGTCCATCTTTCCAAACCCACAACTCATTCGTAGCTCCTCATCATCCACCTGGCCCACAGGAAACACTAAAGCTTCACTGAGGGACTGATATCAAAATAAGGTTCTGCCCTTGAGACCCTCCACAGCACTGAGTTTTCACCAACTAGCAACACATCTAGTGAAACTGAATCCACACCTACCCATATCTAGACTGGCAGATCAGAGGCAAGTCCTGGGAGAAGACTGAAGCGCCCCTAGATATCCTGTCTTCTCCCTGTTTTTTTCCTGTTTTAGGACTCGTGGTGAGCTATGAGAAGTCTGTCATCTGCAGTGATGTGAGATGGTGTCTCCTATTGGCTGAGGCAGTTTTGGTTTTCTGTTCTCCTGCATATGTGCAGTCAGTTTCTCCTACACCTTCCCACCTGTCTAGGCATACTGTTGCAAAATCAGGGCCAAAATTACATCCAGGCCCTCAGCCATTTTACTTGACAGGCTGGATGAGCAAGACTGACCGATTCAGATGATTTTTTTGTGAAGTTGGAAAGCTTCCACCAGAGACTTACCCATGGAAGTGGAAATGATTTTTCCAAATAGGCATCCTGAAACAAAGTGAACACAGTGGAGACCCTGATGATAAAGATTCTGGACAA